TTTGCATTTCTTCCTCTGAGAAGTGTATATTCATCTCAGATGCTCATTTTTGGATTGGATTGTTGAATGTGGAGGGCCTGATATTTTTAATTCCTTATATGTTTTAGATGGAAGGCTTTTGCTGGAGGGACATTTGACTATAATGTTTCTCAAGTTTGTGGTTTTTCTTTTTACCCTGTTGGAGATTTGCTTTGAAGTGTAGAAACTTTTCAAAAAGATGAGATCTCAGTGGTTGGTTCTTTAAAGTATTTCCTGTGCAGATTGGTTTTTGTTCATGAACTCACTACATACCTCTATGTCTTTAAGATTTATAAGTACATTTTCCTCCAGAATATTTAGTGTTTCTGTTTTAATATTTAAATCATAGATCCATTTTGACTACCTTTGTGCATGATGATAAACATGGGTCTATTTTAAGCCTTCAGCATGTGGAAAGCCTATTTTTCCAACATCATTTTATAAAAAGGTTATCTTTCTTTCAGAAAGCATGTTTGGATCCTTTATCAAAGATAAAGTGGTTGAGTATGTTTGCAGTTGTGTTGGCATCTTCTAATCTGTTTTAGGTTTGTCTCTGTACCAGTGCCATGTTGATTTTTATCACAGTAGCTTTTTAGTATAATTTCATGTCAGAGATTGTGATATCTCCTGCCTTTCCTTTATTTCCCAAGATTCCTTTTTATATTCTGTCTCTCTTCTGGTTTGAAATGAATTTGAGGAAATTTTTTCTAGCTCTGTGAGACATACCAATGGTATTTTAATTGGGATTACATTGGAATTATATAAAAATTTTTGGTGTATGGTCATTTCCACAATGTTGGATTCTTCCTATCCATCTATCCATGAGCATGGAATATTTTTCCATTTTCTCAAATCCTCTTCAATCTCTTTTCTCAGAGATTGTAGTATAATTTTCACTGTGTATACCTTTTAAGTCCTTTGTGAGAATGATTCCTAAGTATTTCATTTTTAGGGGATGTTATTGTGAGAGGTGTGTTTTGCCTAATTTCTCTTTCAATTTGCTCATTGTTTTTGTACACAAATGCTACTGATTTTTGGATGTTGAGTTTGTATCCTGCTATGTTGCTGAATTTCATCATTAAATTTGCAAGACTCTTGGTTGAGTTTTTCAGGTCTCTGTGTAGAGTATCATGTCATTTGTAAATGATGATAATTGCACTTCTTTCCCCATCCTTATTCCTTTATTTCTCTCTCTCGTCTAATTGCTCTGACAAATGTTTCTAGAAATATACAGAGTAAAAACAGTTGACATCCTTGTCTTGTTCCTGATTTTAAATTGAAAGTCTTTAGCTTTTGCCCAATTTGTATGATGTTGCTTTTTGGTGTCTCATAGATAGTTTTTATCAGGTTGAGGCAAAGACCATCTATTCCAATTCTCTGTATTTTTTTTTAATGAGTGTTGGACTTTGTCAAAATTTTTTCATGCATATATTGAGATTGTCATGTGATTTAAAATTCATGTGAATTTTACAGTATTACATTTATTGATTTGTGTATTTTATTGGGTATTCTTACATTTATATTCATTAGAGAGATTGGCAAGTAGTTCTGCTTTTTTCATTGGATCTTGTTATGGTTTGTGTCTAGTGGTCCGCTGAAAGCCTCATGCAGGCTTGGGGCAGCTTCTGGAGTTTGTGTTTGATTATTGTGGGTGTAGGTTCTGCATCAACCCTGGGACAGGTAATTTGCAATACAATGCAAGGAGGGGAGAAAGGCTAGCTAGCTGGCTAAGCAGCTGTCATTCTCTCTGCTTCTTCCTCTTTGTGGCCATCATGAACTGCTGCTCTCTGCCTTGTGCCACTCTGCCTTGGAGCCAGCTGAGTATGGACTGAAACATCCACTGACTGTGAGCTAAATAAACCTTTCCTTCCTTCATTTTTGGCATTCTGTATTTGTCCTAGTGATGAAAAAAGAGTAACTGAGACAGATCTTTCTCTGGTTTTGGAATCAGATTAGTATTTGCATTCAGGAATGAGGTAGGGAGAATAGTTGGCATCAGATTTTCTCTAAACTTCTTGTAGAATTCTGCTGTGAATCCATTGGGTCCTGGTATTTTCTTTGGTGGTAGTTTTATTATTATTCCATTTTGAATTTTGTTTCTCATTATTGAGTATTCAGAGATTGTATTTCTTCTTCTTCTTCTTCTTCTTCTTCTTCTTCTTCTTCTTCTTCTTCTTCTTCTTCTTCTTCTTCTTC